GCGATTCCGTTAATGAGCCAGTTCTTGTACTCCGGAGTTGACTATAGCGTTTTGTGTAACAATCGGACGAAGACGAGAAAAGCGATGGGTTGCGTTGTTTACCTGCTTGACGAAACGAGCTGTGCATTTAGAGGTTGCTGATGAGCTTTCAACTGACGCCTTTATCCTGTGCCTGCGTAACTTCATAAATCGTCGAGGAGTCCCCATCAGAATTAGAAGTGATAACGGGACAACTTTTGAGGGGACCAGAAAGAGCTGAAAAATGAACGTTTGTTTGACTTCAACCGCATAGATGGAGAAATGGCAAGACGCAAAATTCAGTGTGTATTCAATTTCCCTGCGAACCCATCAGCAGGCGGTTACTGGGAGCGCCTTATACAGTGCGTCAAGCGATTATTACAACGCGTTTTGCAACAAGAGTCACCACAGTTAGAAATGTTCCGAAGCACCCTTATAGAAGCCGAAAATATAATAAATAGCCGGCCATTAACCGAGTTGGCCATATCGCCGCAGGATGATGAGCCATTAACTCCGAACCACTTGACGGGATGTCTCAATTCAACTCAAACGCCTAGTCTAGATGAAGAAAGAGTGTGTCTCCGGAAGCAATGGCGCATAGCTCCAAATTTAAAGGACCGACTATGGAAGACATGGACAGCCGAATACTTGTAGCAACTTCTTCAACGCTCTAAATGGCAAACTGAGGTCACATCACTGAAAACGGGACAACTGGTCATAGTATGCGATTCCGCTAGATCCAGAAGCCAGTGGGAGCGAGGTACAATAACCGAGGTGTTCATCGCTAAAGATGGCAAAGTTAGGAGCGCAGAAGTCCGCACCAGTTCCATTAAGATACGTCGACCAGGCAGCAAGCTAGCCGCTCTGGAGTTTAGTGAATCCCCATGATGATTCACTGGTGTGTGGGATGTCTTTGCTCAACACTAATCTCAGAATTCAAACCTGTCGTAGTCGGATTTTGACGAAGGGTGGAAGGAGAAAGGAAAAATTAGCAAGCACACATACATATAAAATCGCGTTCATCGTTTTTTGGACTATTCCAATTTTTGCCGAGAAAGCAGCGGGTGCAAAGGCAACAATTTGAAACGTTAGAAAAGTTTCACTAGTATTGTTAAATCTCCTGCCAATATAACTGAGCTAAAAGTGGTCAAATTCTTCGTTTTTTCGTGGCCATCGTCATTGTCCATCTACGTATTTTTATGGTCATCGTCCATCAATTGTGCGCACCTTTTCATCGTCGTTTATTCGTCCTCGTCCATAGTATGCAGTTTTCGTCGGCTTCACCTTCACCGCCCACCAAAGGAGTCGCCATCTGCATCTTCATCGCCAGTGGATCGTTTGTCTTCATCATTGCTATTTTGCCAACGCAAATTGGCCTTCTATAGGCACTTATTGCCATTGATCTACAAATCGTACAGGGACAAGTTATACATAAAATTAAAGTGCTCAACCTGAAACCTTGCACAAATTTTTCACATTTAAGATTCATTGAACCACTTTCGAAATATTTGCGTCGAACGATTTTAAAATTTTTACAATAGGCAAAGCATTGCTATGTTCATTTCGATAGGCAGCGTCTCAGCGGGACCTAAGAGAATGAAAATTTTTCCATTTATTCGCTTTCGTCTCTGTTTTTGTCTCTTATCGATCAAAGCTTTTCTACGTTCGTGCGCATGTAGGCAGCGATACAGCGGAAGATCTGCAAATCACAAATGTTGTTTTTGAGTCTGTACACACCCATATATATATATATATATATGTAAATCTTACATGGTCTATTTTGACGTTTGTTTTCTGAGACAAATATGGTCCTATATGTATTATAAATAAATATGGTTCTATATGTATAACAATTAATTAAAAAAAAAATGATGTTAAACTATTTTTGCGAATAACTTTTGCTAAAATATTCAGAAGACTAATTTTTAACTCTGAGAGCTGTCGATTGAGACACAAGTCATATACTTATATCACCAAAATTTGTTTGTGCGCTGATTTGAAAAATTCTGACCCGAATACGTGATACTATTACGATCGCATTCAAGTTAAATTGTATTACTTTTTATGTTAGCCTAGATCGCATTATCTTCATCTTCGGGTTTGTACATAAGTTAGCTAAGACTTCTGAAACAGCTGGCAACCCGCCTTAATATAGTTAAGAAATAAACAAATCTCTTTCGTATGATATTGTGACGAATTAAGTTAAATTTGATTTTTTAAATACATGACAACGCTCTTAAATACAGTTCAGAAATAAAGCTTTTTTAAACCCATTTTATATGATACCCATATTTTTGATAATTGCTTTAACTTATTAAATAATTTGAGTTTACCTTTGTTTCACGTCATATTTTAATATTTCATTAAACTTATGCAGTTTTTCTATTAAAATACTTGATAGTATGTACTTGGATGTGAAAAGGCCTATTTTTCTAAAATTTAATTTTTTGGCGGTTAAGTCCGGCAAAAATACGTTTTATAAGCCATCTTAGAAACGCTGCCACAGTAGCATGCTGAAATGACTCGCTTATATATACACGAGATTTTGAAGTTTTTATCCAGACGTCCAATCGACATGTTTGAGGTATCGTTGGAAAGGTCTTGTAGGGTGTGTCCAGAAAATGTATTCAAGTTTCATAAACGATTATCCGAATTCTTAAAAATTGGGCTAAAGTGTTGCGAATCAAAAAACGTTTTTTTGCTTATGCCGGTTTAAGGGGGTGTGAAGGGACACCCGACATATTTAGTGTTATTCTATAGGCCAATACCTTTAAAACGATACCTTATATATTGAGTTCCGGCTACTAGTTGTAAAGATATAGAGCTAAATGTGTCTTGGAGCTAAGGTTTTGGGCTAGACTTGAGGAAACTTAGAATAAAATCGACTGACCAGTTTTTGAGAAAATTCTCGAAATCTATATTTTCAGCAGCCCGATTTTTAGTTTATAGGCGATAACGTTATGACATATTTATACTTCATAAACGCAAAAGACCGCATTAGATAGCTTGTTTTAAGGCCCTTCTACTGATATCGACATGAATGGTATGGAATGAGTAATGCGGCCTCAGTGGTAGTTTAAAAAACTGCCTTTTTCGAATTTCCCACGCCCACAAAGGCATACGAATCGAAACATCCTGGTACAAAACCATCCTAGTTTTTTATGTACTTTAATTTCTGAAAGTTTGAAAAAAATTAAATGAAGGTACATACAGACGCTACACACATCGCAAAGCATCTCCTAGTGGAGACACGAACCAAAACACATTTAGCTCTATATCTTTACAACTAGTAGCCGGAACTCAATATATACCCTCCAGTACTGCTGGAGTCAATCGCTACTTTTGAACCGCTACCGCACTGACTCCTAGGTAAGTAGCTACTCTATTAACCCGTGGTAGTGCACATGGTAGTGCAGAGTCGAACCAGTCGTAAGCAGAATAGCGAAAAACTATGACAGAGGGCGCCCATAAATCACGCAAGTGACTACTTTAGTAACTCCCGGTAGTGCAGAGAGAGCCAATGGTGACTACCGCCTAGGACATTGCCTTGTAAAAGTAATCGATGAAATACACTGCAAATAGCCGGTCGGTGATTGACGGTGTTTATTAGGTAGCTACGGATTCAGCAGTCCTGTAGTCACTCCCCCGTACTGCAGGGTAAGGTATCGTTTGAAAGGTATTGGCCTATAGAATAACACTAAATATGTCGGGTGTACCCTCATACCCCCTTAAACCAGCAAAAGCAAAAAAACGTTTTAGGCAATACTTTTGCCTAATTTTTAAGAATTCGGAAAATCTTTTATGGAACTTGGATACATTTTCTCGACACACTCTACAAGACCTATCCAAAGATATCTCAAACATGTCGATTGGACGTCTGGATAAAAACTTCAAAATCTCGTGTATATATAAGCGAGTCATTTCAGCATGCTACTGTGGCTGCTTTCGCCACTCGCGAGTTACGTCACCTGGCCATTCCACTCCAACAGAAAACCGAATTGAGGTTGACTGGTCAGCGTAACGCTACACCTAACAAAATACTTCAGTGCATTGTACCATCGTATTGCACAATAATAAAGAATTTGTCAATAAAGAAGTAATAATAAGTGCAACGACACTTTTAGATTGCCAATAAAGAAGTAATAATAAGTGCAACGACACTTTTAGATTGCCAATAATTTCAATTGAACAGTAAACAAACCAATTTTGCTGACTTAGCTTAAATAGTTAATAAAATAGCTTGTAAGAACTTTTTAGATTCAGAAATGTAGTTTCATTTACTCAATAAAGAGCGTCTTAACGCTAATAAAATATTTTTTTAGTTTGCGACACGCTGCAAACCTTGTCTGGCGCAGTCTACGGAAATCAATTCCGAAGAATTGATAGAACCTAAAACGGCACCCTTAAGGACCGTTGTGAAACTCAAAGAAAAGTGAATTCTAAAGAATTCCTTAAAGTGAAGTGAATTATCAAAATAATCACAAACTGAGTAACCGGGAAGATCCTGAAGGACTCCACCCACACAATTCTAAAGAACTGTGAAATTCAATGAAAAGTGAATTCTAAAGAATTCCCTTAAATAAATCTCGGAAATCAATTCAAAAGAATTGATATCGAACCGGTTTCAACTTAAGTTGAAAATTAGTTAAAAGTAAAAAGGACTAAATTCTTAAGAATTTGTCATATACCATCGTGAAAAAAATAGAACTTTAAAAACTTCCGTATTAAACGAAGTTAAATACGAAAACGGTTTAAAAACCGCATATTGTGTAAATCCTTCAAAACTAAAGGAAACAAGTGAAATATCAACATCAAGGAAACAAGTGAAATATCAACATCAAAGAAGGAAGCGAAATACCAACGTCAAGGAAGCAAGTGAAATAAAAAAAACGGAAGCAAGTGAAATAAAAAGCAAAGAAGATCTCCAAATATTACAAATTCAAGGATATAATATCAGACCAAAAAAAAAATAAAAAATCGATATGACCGAAAACAATCAACCTTTGACAATAGCGGTAACAGAGCTCATTAAAGAAGCGTCTCGCATAAAAGAGTTCAGAGGCGATAAATCGTACGATCTCTCAGCATTTATAAGGGAAGTCGAATTAATCCTTCCACTGTTCAACGAGAATCGACCCTTACAGGAATTCATATTCCAACGGTATATCAGAACAAAAATCCAGGGAGCGGCGTTAAATGCAATACGAACATTGGGACAATCGCCATCGTGGACCACGATAAGAGAGGAACTAATAAGGAACTTTGGTATCAAGGAAACCTATCATAATTTATACCATCAAGCCATAAGTACCAAGAATAATAATGTAAGTGATTATTATCATAATTTAAGAAATATACTAGATAAACTTAACACTAAATACGACCAGGACAATAATAAGCCTGTCGAGTTTTCACCAAGTGTAAATGAATCAATAATCCTGAAAACGTTTTTGAATGGAATAGATCCTAACTTAGCAAGTATAGTTTACAGTAGGAATAAAAATTCCCTTAGAGATGCATTTTACTTGCTAGAAGAGACAGGTATGATTAGGAAATACGACCACAGAAATAATAGGTCAAATAGATTCGCTTCGAATAATAGACAATACGATTCAACACAAAATACTTCTCAGCCAGGATATATGCAGAATACCAGTAATCAGGGACCAGCAAGTAGCTCCAACCCTTCAGGGCAATTCAAACAGGCGAAGGCTAATTCTGGACAGTTCAACCGAAATTCTCAACAGAGTAGGCGATTCCAAAGTAATACCACAAGTAGAAATTCAGGTGTACATAAAACTGAACCCATGGAAGTAGATAACATAGAAGCCACTCACGAAGAGGGTGAAAATTTTCGGTCTCCGGCCAACACCATAACTTACCGCTAGTTAGATTAAACATAGGCAAGGATGAGATAGTATGCCTAATCGACACAGGATCGAACACATCTCTCCTTGGGGAAGACAAACTTCCAAACTATAAACGACAAAAGCTCACAAAACCTCTGATTTTTAGAACGTTAGACGGAAATGTAGGAGTGAATACAGAAATTATCACACCCTTACCAACAGAATTTAACGAAAATAACTTTATGAGTTGGAAATTGACAAACCTAAAGGACAAAAAATTCGACGGGATACTAGGACAAAATATACTTAGACCAATGGACGCAATCATTAACCTTAAAGACGAATACATCGAAATCCACAATGTAAGGATTAAATTTGTAGGTACTTGTCCACATAGTTACGAGGATATACACACACTCGAGACCACACAGATAGATAACACTTTTATGCAAAAACTATTACGTGAAGATATGAATGATGAAGTTAGAGGATTATTACAGACAATTGTAGACGACAATGGTGACTTATTTTTTCAGGAAGGACAAAGACTTTCGCATACACATGAGGTAAAACACGAAATCATCACAACAACTGATAGGCCCGTATATTCTAAAATTTATCGCTACCCTCAAATCCACGAAGAAGAAATAAACAATCAAATGAAAGAGATGTTAGAACATGGTATCATTAGGGAAAGTTGTTCACCTTATAACTCTCCACTATGGATCGTCCCAAAAAAAGTGGACAAATCCGGCAAAAAGAAATGGCGCATCGTTATAGACTATAGAGCTTTGAACGACATTACGGTCAGCGACAAATTTCCCATACCAAATATTGAAAATATACTAGAGAAATTGGGAAGAGCCCAATATTTTACAAAATTGGACTTGGCCAAGGGTTTTCACCAGATTCTTATTAAAGAAGAAGACAGGGCGAAAACCGCATTTTCCACACCACTAGGACACTACGAGTTTGTTCGTATGCCCTTCGGATTGAAAAATGCCCCAGCCACTTTCCAACGGCTAATGAATTCAGTCTTAAGAGACTACATTAATAAAATTTGCGTCGTTTACTTAGACGATATCCTTATATTTAGCACAACCGCTGAAGAACACATGGAGAATATAAGAAAAATCTTCAATCGATTAAGACAGCACAACCTTAGAATTCAAATCGATAAATGTAACTTCTTCGCTACAAGCACAGAATATTTAGGACACATCTTGACCACAGAAGGAGTCAAGCCAAACCCCACCAAAGTGGAGGCAATTCAAAAACTCAAGCTGCCGCAAACAGCAAAACAGATAAAATCCTTTCTAGGAGCAACTGGATACTACCGTAAATTCATAAAAAATTACGCTAAAATAGCTCAAGCTATGACGAAGTATCTAAAGAAGGATGTGAAAGTAAACGTCCATGATACACAATACATGGATGCCTTTTATAAATTAAAAAGGTTACTAACCTCTCCACCGGTGCTGAAGTACCCGGACTTCAAAAAGAAATTTGAAATCGTCACAGATGCGAGTGATTATGCCATAGGGGGTGCACTGATGCAAGCAGGACATCCAATATGCTACGCAAGTAGAACCTTGAATGAGCATGAAAAAAAGTACTCAACCACAGAAAAAGAACTTCTTGCTATAGTATGGGCAGTTAACTATTTTAGGCCCTATATTTATGGTAGGAATTTTGACTTACAAAATACAAAGGGAAGGATATCAATCCAAGGTTGCAAAGGTGGATACTTAAACTAGGCGAATACGATATCAATATCGGCTACATTAAAGGTAAAGAAAATACCCTAGCCGATTTCCTAAGTAGAATAAATAATGATACAGGTGAAATCTACTTAGCAAAATCAAATGAACAGGTAGAGGATAACATAGACAACATAAGCACTTGTGCAACAATACATTCCCAAGAAGAGGAAATCAATGATCACTTTCCCGTTCTGGATACAGTGGTCAACCGTTTCCATACCCAGATAATTTTAACCGAGCATAAGAATCAAGAGATAGAAATAATCGACAGGAAAAGGAAAATATTTATCAGCCTAGATGATATAAATAGCGGTTTTATGTCTGACATTTTCCGAAGATACCTGAAATCAGGAAAGGTAGGAATTTTTTCCGAACTCCCTGATAGTGAATATAATACCGTACAACAAAAATTGATAGAATTATTTAATGGAAGAATAAAATTCTTCAAATGCTCACATCATGCCAAAGACATGCGGGATGAAGATGAAGCCTTCAGATATATTAAAAACTATCACTTCACAGAAAGTGGCCATTCAGGCATCAATGAAAACTACGAAGGATTAAAAAGGCTCATATACTATAAAAATCTAAAACAGCTTATTCACAAATTCATAAACAATTGCGATATATGCTGCCAAACTAAATACGATAGGAAGCCAATAAAACCGAAATTCCATTTAACAGAAACACCCAAGGATACTAACGAAGTAGTACACCTAGATACTTACACAATTAAAAAACACAACTTCATGACCTTCATTGATAAATTTTCTAAGTTCGCAGTAGCACTCTTTTTAGAAGACAAAAATAGCATCACATTCGTCGAAACTTTACGAATGTACTTCGCTATGAGAGGGAAGCCTAGACTATTTATAACTGATAATGAATTTAATTCCGTAAACGTAAAGGACTTTTTAAGAGAAGAAGGTGTCGAAGTTCATTTTACCAAACCCAATAGTCATACAGGGAACTCGGACATCGAAAGGTTTCACAATACGATAGGAGAAAAATTTAGAATCATAGAACTAGAATCCCGAACTTTATCAACAAGAGAGAAGATGTACAAATGTATTCAGACCTATAACAATAATATCCATTCAACTCTGAAAGCAACACCTTCAGACGTAGCCTCAGGAAAAATTGATAAAAAAATAATCTACGATAGGATAAAAGGGACTAAAGAGAAAATCATTAACAAAATGAATACGAAAAGAGAGAGTTATACTGAAAATAGAAGCAGTGGACACGTGAGAAATTATAGAGCTGTTAGACATAAGCACGAACCCAGATACAGAAAGTTACCACTTCAAAACACCCATACAAGTAACATTAAAAGACCAGGAAAATTTTCAGGTGCTATCGATATCAATGCCTCTAATTTTCGTAATGCTGATAATGGGAGCAACGGCAACAATGATAACTGAAGACATCAAAAACGAAGACGGACTCGCCGAAATAAAACTTGAAAACGTACAAGTGATCACAGATTTTGACATCATCCTTCACATAATCAGACCGCAGGAAATAGAAAATATAATTGACGCACTAGAAAATTTAGCTAGAGACTCTAAATTGACCGAGAAAGAACAAATTCTGACTCAGGAATTCACAACATTACGGAGTAAACTTTACACACTATTACCACATAAACAAAAAAGAGGATTAATTAACATATTAGGTACAACAATGAAATGGTTGTATGGAACTATGGACGACGATGATAGACAGAATATAGAGCAGCATCTCAAAGTTATGGATACGAACAACCATATTTCCATAGATACCTTAAATAAGAATATAAAAATTAACGATAATTTCAACAAAACATTCCAAAGCATCCAAAAAGCTATAGAATCAGATAGAAGACAAATAGCCCTTAAATTTAATTCAATTCAACAAGAAAATCGAGAAATCCATAGGCAACTCCTATATCTAGACATACTGCTAAGGATTAGGACACTCAGTAATAGCATAGAGCACATTCAGAATAATTTAGCATCTGCTAGACTAAACTTAATGTCCAGCAACATTCTAACCCCGGAAGAGATAAATAGATATAATATCGATATATTTAAGTTAGAGAACATTGAATTAGGAGCAGCCACCTCCGCAGGTAACATTATATTTTCACTTAAAATTCCGACTAATGTAACTACAGCAAAACATGTATTTATAACACCATGTGCAAATATAAATTTAGAGGAACTACAATTTAAAAGCGAACATATTGTAGAAATCAATAATACTAGATATGTTTATTCAAAAAATTTATATCAAAAGAATCTGAAAGTTTCTAATTCATGAGTAATCAAGAAAAATTGTAAGAAAATTAAAGATAGTAAAGNATGTGTAATCAAGAAAAATTGTAAGAAAATTAAAAATAGTAAAGAAGAAATTATGGAAATTGAAAAAGGCTTAATAATTATAAAAAATACAAAAGGAATCGAAATAAATAGTACATGTAACGAAAGAACCTTATATTTAATAGGAACTCATCTCATTTCATTCGATAATTGTGAACTTAAAATTAGAAACGAAACTTATAAAAATTTAAATAAATCATTTACACAGAAATATGTAATACGTTACCTTGAATCGAATATTAATCATACACAACTCGAACCTACTTTTGATGAATTAATCATTACCAAATTGAAAACGCTCAAAAAATTGAAGAACTTACCTACCACAAGAAAAAATATCAAATCAACATTTGGCTAATAATTTCATTCATTGCAGCAATTGCTTTAGCTTTGTTCGTAATTTTTGTCCATTTTACAAACAAACATAAAGCAATTGAATTAAATATAAATACAAAAACCCAGGAGTGTTTTCAATCAAGGGAAGGGGGAGTTACGTCACCTGGCCATTCCACTCCAACAGAAAACCGAATTGAGGTTGACTGGTCAGCGTAACGCTATACCTAACAAAATACTTCCGTGCATTGTACCATCGTATTGCACAATAATAAAGAATTTGTCAATAAAGAAGTAATAATAAGTGCAACGACACTTTTAGATTGCCAATAAAGAAGTAATAATAAGTGCAACGACACTTTTAGATTGCCAATAATTTCAATTGAACAATAAACAAACCAATTTTGCTGACTTAGCTTAAATAGTTAATAAAATAGCTTGTAAGAAATTTTTAGATTCAGAAATGTAATTTCATTTACTCAATAAAGAGCGTCTTAACGCTAATAAAATATTTTTTTAGTTTGCGATACGCTGCAAACCTTGCCTCGCGCGCACTGCCGTGCGCTGTGATAAATATGTCATAACGTTATCGCCTAAAACCTAAAAATCGGGCTGCTGAAAATATAGATTTCGAGAATTTTCTCAAAAACTGGTCAGTCGATTTTATTTTAAGTTTCCTCAAGTCTAGCCCAAAACCTTAGCTTGCATTTGGTATATAGCTTATGTCTGGGGAAAACTCTTATTGTGGAGGTATTACGATTCAAATTGAAAAAATGTCACTCCAAATAGCGAAAAATGGTTAAAAGTTAACATATTCGTCTATTTTGGTTACTTTAATTATAAACGTAACATATCCAATTTCCCGCAAAAAACTGTCCGTTCCCCGATGCCACCTAAACTGAAGTTCCCTTCAAATCGGGGGAATTTCCCGCGAGTTGACTTCCCTGTACGCGATACATAATTAAATAAATAAGAAATCTTTTTATTTTTGCAGGTTTCTTTGTTGTCTTGCACTGGGTGGCGCCGAATGAGCTATATGGTTTGAATTCTTTATAACTTTTTTAATTATTATTTTTTCATTTCTTTTTTTTTCAGAAATTTGAGAAGAAGACTTGGGGAATTAATTTTGAATCATTACACGATCGAACAACGTGCTCAAATAACTGAATTTTATTTTTTAAACCAACGGTCTATTGTGTTGACACAGCGTGCATATCATCGTCATTTTAATGTGCGCATTGCACCCACAACGTCAGCAATAAACCATTTGATTGGACATTTTCGTCAACATGGGTCTGTAAGAACTCTTCCTGGTGCCGGAAGAACACCTATCGTGAACGTGTATGGGAGAGCGTGCAGCGTAGTCCATCAACATCAACAAGGAGGCGTTCGACACAACTTGGACTATCACGGCGGTCGCTACAGAGAATTTTGATGACATTAGACTTGTTCCCATATAAAGTTGAACTTGCGCAAGAGTTGAAGACGACAGACTACGAGCAACGGCTTGAATATGCCATTCGTTTCCGTGAAAAAGCGGAGGAAAATCCAGACTTTATTCACAATTTGGGAATGAGCTATGAAGCCCATTTCCTATTAAATGGGTATGTCAACAAGAAAAACTGCAGGATTTGGGCTATGGAAAATCCAAGAGCAGTGCATCAGCGAGAATTACACCCACTTAAGTGTACTGTTTGGTACGGTGTATCCTCCGAAAGGATAATTGGCCCATATTTTTTTGAAAATGAAAGTGGTGTCTCAATCTGTGTCAACGGTGCTGCATATCGGACGATGTTGGAAAATTTTATTAGGCCAGCTGTGGAAAAACATCCAAACTTGTGGTTTCAACAAGATGGAGCCACAGCACATACTGCACGTGCCTCAATGGCTTTGTTAAGGGACATATTCGGCGAACGCATTATTTCACGCACAAGCGTTTTTAACTGGCCTTCACGTTCACCAGATTTAACAGCTCCTGACAGTTTTCTTTGCGGATATTTGAAAGAAAGAGTGACGTTTACAAACCAAGAACCATTATCCAACTCCAAACCAACATTCGAAATGAAATCATGGCCATTACACCCGAAATTCTGCGAAAACTTATGGAAAATATGCTAAAAAGAGCACGTATGTGCGAAGCAGAAAATGGACATCATTTACAGGATATCATTTTTCAAAGCTAATTGTAAAAAATTCCCCAATAATATACTGTATTTAAAAAAATATATATATAATAATCGCATAAATAAAAAACTTATAAACCATTTAAACCATATAGCTCATTCGGCGCCACTCTGTACATACGTAAGTATACATGTATGTACACATTCAGTGTGAATGCAATGATATCGTGGGCGGGATATTTGATGTACACAGTATGCAACTATACCCGCACTTTACTAACCTGGGAAGACGCTTACATTATTACCTACATTCGTACATTCATATGTACTTATGTATGAATGCATTTATTTCACTTTATGTGCCGCTACTAATTATGTTTAGATTGCCACCGAGCAAAAACGCATCTTAAAAAAACGTATATGTTTCAATGGAATTGTATTCAGGGTTAAATATTTGAATAAATCATTTAGATTTAGATAGCGTTTTTAGCCATTTATTTGGGAAAAATTAAACATTTATATTTTTGTTTGGATTTTCGTTGATTTTAGATTTGCTATCCCAAAACAATTGATATCAAATAAAACACCTCTTTGAGGTAAAATTTTCGAGTGACGAAAGCTGAACTAGAAACAAAATTTATGATATCAATTTCGTGACGAAAATTATACGCATTAGTTTAACTGCTTTGGAAACTGACGCAAAATAGTATTATTTATTCGGAACGTTGCGAAGTTGTGTCTACTCTTAGAAACACAACACAAAAAATCAGCGCTTTAGCAACGATTAGTATGAATAATACTATTTTGCGTCAGTTTCCAAGGCAGTTACAAAAATGCGTATAATTTTCGTCACGAAATTGATATCATAAATTTTGTTTATCTGGTTCAGGTTTCGTCACTCGAAAATGTTACCTCAAAGAGGTGTTTTATTTGATAACATATATCTAGCAACCAAAATGATAGCTAGACAGCAATTATGACTGACAAAATAAATATTGGGTTTCAAAATACAAAATGAGTAAACAATGATTTATTCCAATTAAAACCTGCGTGTATTGGTATTACAAATTACTAGTAATAATCCCCGAAAATCGGGATGTTCCGTGGACTAAAAAATCAGAATATTTCTTTATTCTAAAACCACATGCTTTGCTTTTGGTAGTTAACTTTTACTTTGGTATTTTGGCAAGATCATACTCTACTCAATACGTATACATAGCTGGCCATGCGTAAAGCAGTCCTCAGGCTAGGGTCTGACCTTGAGACTTATTTCTTGTTATTGCGAACGGTACAATAATTTTGAATTGGCGACGCACACTGGGGCCAAACGTCCTCAAAAATCAATTTTTAAAAAATGTTTTTTTTTGGAAAATAAAAACGCAGGTTTAATAAAAAATAATAATAATAGATTGGCGCTAACACATATGTTAGTGTTTGGCCGAGCTTCTCCTCCACGCAGGTTTATTCCCTATTAAATTCTACATTTGGGGGTAAGTTTTCACCTTTGTATCGTTTTTCGGCTGGGGGATATGCATGTCCAAACTTGACAAATTTGAACAAATAACTTTTTTTTTTTCAAAACTGAGAAATTCAAATTATTACTGTAAGAAAGCGGTATTAGATTTCGTTATCTTGTTTCTTCCATTAGTTAAAATGCAGTTTATTTATTCTTCTGGCGTATTTTGTTAGAAATTATGGATTTTAAAAATATTATGATTAAAAAAAAACTAAACTAATCTCTGTTTTTGCAAGTGTAATTTTCAAAATCACTTTTTTTTTTAAATGCGCAAAGCGCTTTTAAATTTGACAGTACTGCAATAAAGTATGTTCCTTCCTTACTAAGAATCCGAGTTTTAAAACCATAAGAACTTTGCGCATTTTTAAATAAATTGGATTTAAAAATTTCACTTTGGTTTTAATTAAACACAAAAACATATACTTCTGGTTAAGTTTGATTCTGTTTCATTTCGAACTTAAACTGTTTATTATTTTGAGGTTGCTCAATGAATAAAAAGCGGATTTATTTCTAACAAGGACTTTAAAATCTTTAGTGAGAAGCGGATTTAGTTCGAATAAGGACTAATAAAAACTTTAGAGAGATCTATAGTAGGAACACGGATCGCGCTGACAATTTAGGAGACGTTTTTAATAGATTGCTGGTTTCATTAGACCCTCTGTTTACTTGCTCGCACTTATTGCCAGTGGTCACCAACCGGAGAGCTTTCCTTGCTGAAGCAATGTAGTTACTTAGTAGAACTTGAAGCGAATAATATTATTTTAACGGGGCGTGGATGGGATTTATATTCCGACTATGAGGAATAAGTGTCACAGTTTTCATTATATAGTGCTTATCATAACTATAAAGCACCAACATATTGACAACTTTTGACTTTGTTTTATTATTATTTAATTTTAATTATTTTTTTTATAAAAATATACTTCATTTCTTAACAAAAATCGAATAAATCTGAGTTTCAAACTTCGTAAAAATATCGATGTTTTTGATAAGATATTTAAAAAAGATTTTGAGTGCAAGTTTGAAGTAGCTAGGACATACCCTTGATTTTTGGCAAGTTTTCTTCCATATAAAAAATCAATATAATCCATATAAAATTCCATATAAAAAAATCGTCCAACATACTTCGTATGGAAATACTAATATTCTACAATTAAATGGGTTACAAAACTTCATACTCAAAATCCTTTTAATAATGCGTATCATAACTATACGAGACCCGCACATTGAAAAGTTTTGACTATTTATTTTATTAACTGACTTCAAAAAAGGCGGAGGTTATCAGTTCGTCGGAATTTTGTTTTTTGTTGTTTTTAATATATGCTACCGCATAACTTTGGGCCACGTTAACCGATTTCGATAATTCTTTTTCATCGGAAAGGTGGTGCCTCAAGAGTGGTCCCATACTAATCCTTTAGATCCGATAATTGGATCATGAAGAAATTAACGATAATCTTAAATTTTTATATGAGAATTGAAGTCGGTTTTGATTTTTGCTTAAACATTACTTTTTTTATTTTATTTTAATTATTTTTTTTTTATAAAAATATAGCTGATTTTTTAATTAATTAATGTTTTTAATTAGATACATTACTTGCTTTTCGATATTTTGTAGGCTTAATTTGTAAGTCTTTTTAAATTTAAAACATAATGGGGCATATTCATAGTCGAATCAAAGACGAAACTAAAAATAATTTCGATTTTTTGACAAATTTTTCTAAAAAAATGTTTTCAGAGAGCTGAAATTATTTTTACTTTCATCTTTGTTTTGACCATGCATTTATCCCTTTATGTTTTACATTGAAACGTAAATTTGTGTATCCTATCTTTTACTATCTAACTGATCTGTAAAGAATAATATTTTTAACGGTGGCCATGCCGTTGATGACAAAGACTGCTTTGTCGGCAATTAGGCATGGGGTGGTCTTGGCATTGAAAGTGAAATGGTTTAAGTGGTAATGAACTGAAGTGACAAAGAATGCCATCAAGGTCTTTTGATAATGATATTTGATATTTATTTGTGCGAGTAGAATTGTGAAATGATTTGGGTTAGTTTGCTTCGACTTGTTTGTTCTTTAAAAGTCACACTGTATACTACACACTACACCTCCCTTTTTAATAAGAATGTTCATATGACTGTAGTTTTATGGACATTCTTTTACAATATTGTTTTTGACTTTTATCAGTTTCTTTTTGTTTTCTTGTTTTTCCTTTTATTAGTATNCTGTTCCCATGTCCGAAATGAACGTCTTCATTGGACCATAAACGAGAATAAAATGTTCAAATATAGCTTTTGCGATTGTTTTTGCGTATTTGTCTTGTATAGGTATTGTTACTAGGTACTTTGTCAAGTCACATATTATAGTGATTGCATATTCATTTCCGTTAATCGATTTTGGAAATGGACCGATGGTGTCAACGAATACCGTATCGAAAGCTTGTACCGGTGTCTTTGTAATAGTCATTGGATTTTTCAGGTGTTTTAATGTTTTTGTAGTTTGACACTTATGGCATGACTTTACGTATTT